TAGTAAATAGTTATTTAGCAACAGGGGACTCGGGCGGATTACCATTCTACTTAATCATGATGACTGCTTTACCCAGTATTTGGCATTCTTGAATGCCTGGATTTTACAGCGACCCTGACAGGAGACCAGCAAGACAGCATTGGAAGAAAAGAGAACAAAGTTCATTGAGGTAGAAAAAACAAAAATGTTCTTTCATGGTTAGAAAGGATATAAGTACTGCTTATTTAAAAAAAATTAAGCCACAACGTTTTTTATCAGTGCTTGACGGTCATGGTAGCGTTTGCTGTGTCATTTTTTTTTGGGGTGTTTATTGTGGGTTTATTCTGCCCATTCTCGCTAGTGACAACATGAGACGCCTTAACCGGCAAGCTATTTCAGTACAGGCAGAGGCACTGGTGCCGAATGAAGTAAAGGAAATAATAGTGAATAGCCGCAAGAACATCCTAGTGATTGACGTCAATCATGTGACTGCGCTTCACAGATTGCGTGAAGTAACGGAACTTAATGGTATGAAAGTCCTTTCTCATATAGCGCTGGGCAAAGAAGAGATTACTGGTGTGATATATGATGTTGCCGAAGCCACTGCCAACTCGGACCTTCCAGTCTTGATTAGGCCAGCTTCGGAAGATGTCATTATTTGAAGTATATGTCATATTGGGACATCATGATGCGTAAGAATTACATTTAAGGGCGAATCACTTCCATCCCACGTATAAGTGGGCCACTTCCGACACGTAGTTCGCCCTTTTATACCGAAACCACTTCAGTGCTGGAAGTGCATGAAGTTAGGCCACAATGTGGTGTGTGCACGAACTCTACTGTCTGTTCCCGATGCACTGGGCACCACCACAAGGACACGTGCCAGGCCACAACTCTGAAGTACTTAGACTGCAATGGGCCACATGATGCCTCTTTGAAGGACTGTCCTTTTATTCGAAAGGAGCTAACAATACTGAAGAAAAGGTCCAGAGATGACATTTCATACCGAGAAGCAGCTGCATTCATTACGCGACGATGGTCCCGTCGCCGGCACTGCACCAAAGCCATCAAAACCTCATCGCCTCGCGAAGCACGTCCAAAACCACCTCCACCTCCCCCACTCTGGCCAAGTGATGTCGGTTCCAAGAGCAAAAGTGCTTCTGCTAGCAGTGGAGCTCACGCTTCATCCTTATTACCCAGTCAGAGCTCAGCAGTTTTAAAGGAAAATGATGCCTCTACCAGTAATGCAGGTGACGCTTGGCCCGAACTCCCAAAGATACATGCGCCTGATGAGAGGAATCTGACTTCGACGGTGAGGGACTCTTCATCGGTACCTCATTACTTGATGGACGAAGGACAAATCATCGCCGGGAAACCATGCGAACTTTTGCATTTTTTGTCACTACCTTTCAATAAAGATATCTATGGATGCGAAACAGAAAGCCGATGTAGGTGAGCCTTGAAGGTCTTGCGAATTTTCATTTCTTAAACTTTTCTTTAATTTGGTTAAATCTGACTGTGGGTTCAGTTTTTAATGAAAAAAGTTAGTATATAACGCCGTAAAGTTGGTACACTTCAATTTTTCATTACCTAATTTCGTTTGAAAACGAAATAGCGCAGGGTCTCATATGCATCCCCAAAAGCCGACTCGAAGACGAATGCTATGTTTTTTTTCTATTTCATTTATGCTAAGGTACTTAATCTTCAGCGTTCCCTTCCGAAAATTCTCTGCAACTGACGTGTTTTTTTTTTAAACAGTTCATGTAAATTCGCAATACTGATTAAATCCATAGCCCTAGGCTGTTCTATACGATGACGTCCTTTGTGCTGTGTCCATGCGACAATCCGTAGGACCTTTTGTTGTTGTGACGACGTCCTGTGATCCCTGTAATTGTGCCATGGCAATTCCACCTGGTAGATTTTTGGGCCTGCTCACTGCTACCGTGACGTCACTCAATTTGCGTAAGGGAGCCCGTGTATGCAAAACTGTGAATCCATTGCCACAATCGTCCCCGTTAAAATATAAAAGCGTTCGCAGCAAGTTTTAAATGCTTAACAGCTTCATTCTGCCTTTTGGGTCAAAACAGGCCCTGCATGGCGTAAGTAATGTGTTAGCTTTAAAGCATTTGGAGACTCACCTGTGAGTAATTCCTTCTACTAAAAAGCCAAACATTGCCGCTATCGAACGCATGATCAATCTATAGAGTGAATTTTGTCGACCAACAAACTGACAAAATAAATACGGTAAATTTTGTTCATTCTATATTTGTTTACACAGGCACGCACACACACGTACAATATTTAGAGCATGCAGAAAAACTCTGCCTAACTCATTTGCAAAGTGTCTGCTGTTTTTTTTTGTAACTTTTGGAACACCTGTGTTCATTAGACACGCAGTAATTCAGGAGAGTGTGTGCTGCTGCCCCAAGTATAGTATTCAGCACAATATCAGGGGGATATACATTGCAAAAGAAAACAACATCTTTCGTTTCACAAAAATTTCTTTGGACCGAGAACAGATTCGGCGTTCGCTCTTTTGCTCTGGTCCCTCTCGCAGTGGTGCATGGGCGGTCATATGACCCGGGAAAAAAAGTTAGTATTCAAAATATTGTTCTTCTATAATCAAAACTACACATAAGAGGGCTGTTTTATTTGACGACAAATTTGTCTAATACCTCCTTGGCATGGCTATCTTTGGCTATTTTAGGTTCAGTACTGGCTGTCCTTTAAATCTGCTTGACATCAACCCTATTCATGTTAATACTTCTCGTATGAAGTTGTTATGCTACGTTTCCAGATATGTAGAATGAAAATCGTGATTCTTGGAACAACCAGGCACACACAAGGTGGACCATCATGGGCGGTGGTTTTATTTTCACTTTCGAACAATTTTCAGCAGAATGTACAAGCACCTGTCTGCGTTTAAAAGCGAAGGTTTTGAATGCGTGCACACACTTATCACTAAAACACACTGGTCAGATATGAACACGAAGATAATGTGGTGAACATTAGGTTCATAAGTTATACTCTTTTTTTATTAGCTTGTGTCAGTGGGGGGGGGGGTATATAACTGTCACATAAAACTGACACAGTATTTGTCGCATAAATAACTATGTACATGCTTAATGCTGAAAATGTCACAACGAATACAGAGCTTAAATACACTGACCACATCCTAACGGCTACAAACACAATTCAGACGTCAAAAAACGACAATGGACGAATCACAGGTTATGACTGCCACAGCACGCCGCACTTTGAGAATACCTGTAAGTGACCCTTGACGGAAGTAAAAAGTGGCGAATAACACATCTTGTACATTTGCTGGCTCTGTGAAGGGATATTCGAGCAGATCGTGTAAGCCTGCTTGTCACTCGATACTCAAGCACCGCAAGAACAAAAAGTCTACTGCTTAAATGATGTCGCAACTATAGTGCAAGGAATGGCGAGATCTTTCGAAGGATAGAACAATATAGAATGCATTCGAAAAGAGGGAGAGAAAGTGCTTTGGAGTTCACAGCAAAGGTGCAAACACTCTTGACAAAATGAACTTCAAGGTGCGAATGTTTCACCTATGCTGGCTTACGCTTCCGCAGGCCGTTTCCCCAACACTTCGAGATGTAGTGGTCGAAGCGGCACCGCCTTCAGATACTAGTTGGTAATTTAACTGGACCCTGTTAGAGCCAGTCGTTTCACAACACTCTACGCTTCCTTAATCAAACACACTAAAGCCTCCATTAGGTTGTGCAAAGCATTCATCAGATTCACGATGAAAGTACAATAATGAAGCATGGAGCTACATCAGCCATAAAAGTGTAATCCGTGAACTCTGGAAATGATGATGGTACGTGCTGTCGACTTCAAGGCCCCGTGCAAATAATTAGGGGCCAAAGAGCGATACATGAGCTCTCTTATCTACGTTATGTAACTACGTGGCCGTACAAAGTTACGAGCTCCTTTAAGAACGTACTTGTCACGAGGATGCGAGCTAGTTGCGAAAACATACCTTTCATCGCAGAGATACGTTATTTTTTACATGTCTAAAGGTATTATGTATTATTATTCGATACTACTCAGAACTATACGAAATAATGTTGCGGGTGTCACCTCGATTGGCAGTCGACATATTGTGATCCTGTACCTATCATTCATTGCAATGGTTTCTATTTCGAATGACGTGATCCACTGCCCTCAGAAGCCGGTATGGTGAAATGTCCCAATCACACTATATTCACGCACTTATAACACTATATTCACACTATATTTACGAGGAACGATTGATCGTTTCTCTGGCGTTGCGATTCACAACTTATGCCCAACGTCTTGCTTATGCCCAACATGCTTGAGCTGTGTCTTGCTTTCTAAAACAATAGGGCTCAACTAGACAACGGTCAATTGATGCAACTTTGTCACAATGTGAAATAACAATAATTTATTAATAATACACCATATTCCTCATGCAACTGCTTTTACATTTTCCAAGGGTTCATCCATCAGCCCATAGTTAAGTACTTTTCTTGTCCCTGTGATAATCTTTTGTAAGTAATGCCTGCTTGTCTATGCGTGCGTTACAAGCAGTACATTTGTGTCGGCGTGCGAATTTGTGAGGCTGCTGTTAGGGGGCCTTAAATGAATACTTCATCACTTGCCTGCATACAGAAGGCATTTGTGACGTTTGTTTAAAATGGACCTGATTGTTTCTTTTCCTTTACTGCGCATAGTATAGTTTTAAAAATGGAACTATCGTTATGGTGAATGTCAAATAAGGTACTGGCGCATTTCAATTTTGCGCTTAGGGAGACTCTCTTCATTATTTATACAAAGACTAAAAGACGACAATTGAAATGTGCCAGTGCCAGTTTCCTTGTGATTGAAATCAAGATGTACTTACGTCATCCTCTGATAGGTGGTCTGTTCGCTAGCTGAAATTGTATCAAACGGGCAGTACGGGACAAATTGGTCCCATTGAGTTAGTGCGCCACAGCAGGTTTAGGGACAGAGAAAGCAAAGTCGAAGGACAATTGTCTTGTTTCTTGCTTTACTTACGACAACGCATGTGTACCATGATGGAAGATCCATGATGAACATCATTTTTCGTAGATTTGATCAAGGCGTACACATTAAATACGTGACTGCTTAAGTTGATACGAACACTGCTAAGGATGAACAATATGTACATGAGAATGTCGTACAGGTACCGAAAGGCTACAATAGGAATGAAAAAAAAACTGGAAAACTCGGTATATGATGACTTGTATTGATCACTTTCACATCACAATGCCACTAATTTAGAACTTGTATCATGCTGTAGCAGGTGCCACTGAAACATGTAGCGAACGCTTTTTGTGCTTCTCTGCACCAGTCATTGTTCAGCAAGCTTTGAGAGCAACACTACGAGACCTAACAGAAGTTGCAGCACAAAAAAAAAGATTATCAGTGAAACCACCAAATTTCCCCAATTTCCTTGAACAACAAGCACCATCATTTCCAAATAGGAGATAGTGGCCTGACTACTAAAGATGTCTGTGCCTTCTTAGAGCTACCGTTCAATAGTAGCATTCCGAAAGCAGGTGACAAGTTGTTCTCACTAGGGAGACAGATTTTCTAGGCGAACACACGTGGAATGTCTGATGATGACGATTGTAGGCAGATCTAAAAGGTTCCCTCAGAAACGGATCTCAACTCCGGTTCGTCGATGCCGTGAAGCCCATTTTGGCCATCGCATTTGACCTTTGCCCTCCTTCGAAGGCAGGTCATACGTCAGATCTTAGTGGACGCGGTACACTTGGACATGCTTGAGCTGTGAATTGTGCGGAAAGAGTAGGAATTGTTGCGCGAGTGGATGCCGCTGGCTGCACGCCGGCTGCAGAAGAGGTAGTGCTTGAAGTGGTTGCGGAACACACCGCTGACCAGGTACAGAGCGATGGGATTCAAGCACGAGTTGACGAACGTCATGACGTAGCCCATAATTTTCCACACGTGCCAGAAGCTGTTGTAGTGTGATGGTGCATCGGGTGCAAAGTAATACCACATCATGAATACGTGGTTTGGGAAAAAACACACTGCGAAGAGGATGACGAAGGCCAGGGCGATCTTGGCCACCTTGACGCGGGCCTTCATTTGCTTGAGCTGTGCCACGCCTCCACAGCCTGGCTGCGTCAGGTTAGCGCGGGACGTGCGAATCAGCTGGCGGGCCATGAGACCGTAGAATGTGCCGATAATGGCCAGCGGCAGCATGTACTGGACTAGGAACTTCATGAGCACCATGAGCTTCGGGTACCAAGGCCACATTTCTGGGGGAAACGGGTAGCACACGCTGTACCGCAGCTCGGGAGTAGCCTCCACTTCCATCACGAATGAGAAGTGGGCTCCTGGTATGGCCAACAGGACGGCAACCATCCACACCGCGACCGTGAGCATGATGGTGATAGTTCGTCTCGTGTGTCGACGGCCTTTGTGGTTAAGAAGAGGCATAGCGATGGCCACGTACCGGTCAATGCTAAGCACGGTGAGCGTCAAAACGGTCACGCTGATAGACACATCCCGAAGAAACTCGCTGAGCTTGCAGAGGAAAAGCCCGTATGGCCACGAGTCTAGTATGTAGATGGTGCTGATGAACGGCACAGTGCCAGCGATGACAATGAAGTCGCCCACTGATAGACTCATAATGTAGATGTTTGGAACGCTGCGCATCGTCCGGTTGCGAATGAACACGAGGATCAGCGTTCCATTGCCTAGTAGTCCAACAAGAAATATGAAGGCGAAAAGCGTGGGCACCACGTATGTCTCTAGCCTCTGCTCATAGGGCACGAATTCTTCTGAATCACCGTGGCCCGTAGTCAGGTTGAGGTGAGATGTGGGCATGCTGTAATTGTAGATGCGCGACACAGATTGGTCCCTGGTGACCCGTAACGTCATAGACGTCGCGTTGGCCACGAGTGGTCCCAGTGTAGAAGACAGCATGTCGTAGCTCTCGGGTACGTCGGCCATGCGCTGGACTCTGCAGGCAGCAGGAACGCGCACCAGGTCAGACGGCACCTAATCGCAGGTACTGTAAAGACAGAAGCCAAGAAATCGGCAGGTCAGATAGATACGAAAGATCCGTAGTCGATTTATTACGAACGCGATATTCTTCTACTAAATATAGTGGTGAATACACGGCAGTAATGAAGAATGTTAGCTTAAGCAAGTACGAAAACAACAATGCTCAAGAAAAAGCACTGCTGCAGTTAGGAAAGGAAAAATTATGGCTCGCAATTTCATCCACATAAACGTACATTGCTACTCTAAAAAGTGATGATGCTCAAAATTTGCCTAAATTGATCTTCGAAGATTACCGATGCATCAGCTGATGCATCAACGTGATTACTGCGTTGAAAAATTTTCTGTTCGCGTGATTATTGCGTTGAAAGATTTGCTGTTCACGTGATTACTGCGTTGAAGAATTGTTGTCCAATTTTTGAAAGGTGTTGGAAAGCGGACTTGTGCAGTAAACTGTCAGTCAATCTTAATGTGACTCCTTTCTTTTTTATGATTGTAGCCCATTATTTCATAACATTCAAAATTATCTGACACCAACTAAACGCTTCAAATGCGTGAATGTATTGCACACAACATATCAATGCCAACATTAGGTAAAATGCCTCTTGCTGTGTCACGTTAACATTTTTCACATTTCAACTAGATTAACATTTCTTAAAATGACCCTCCAACACTATACTCAGGTCCACATTTTTCACTTGTGAGTTGGGTAGACCAAAAAAAGGAAGACGTTAATGCAGAGAGAACGGCGTGATAAGTGCTGTAAGTTCGAGCTTGTTCAGCCTATAGAACATACGAAATGCAAGAAAAATAAAAGCAGGTCGACATTCAACTCAATCTTTGCACAATTATATGGACAGATTTCGCTCACCCTAGACCTCGCAAGGCGGCGCAGCCAATAAAGAATTACCTGTATGGTCCTACATAAGAGAAGTTCGTATATCACTGTTGCCAATCTGAACAACGTAGTAGCAAACAATGTATTCAGTAACAAACAACATGACAGCTGACTACATCATTCTGTTTACACGCTCGAACAGGTAGGGCTGTCAGAAACAAGCGCAAAATATAGCTTCGAAGCGCGGGGCTTCACTCGTCGTTCTTTACAAGGGATCCATCTCTTTCTGGAAAGAAAATTTGTGAAATCACAAAGGTGGTAAAGCACAGTTGTCCCTGCCTTTCGAGCATCCCAAAACTGGGCAAAGCTGAAAATTCTTTGTTGTACCCATTTGTCGGAAATAGAAAGCAAAACTCTCTCACCCTCACTAAAGAAATATATTTTACGCTTCAAACTCACTCGGACTCAGACTCACCAAAGCTTTCCTTAGCCAAGCTCACTCGGACTACCCACTCACGAAAATTTTCATCAGCCGGACTCACTCGGACTCAAACTCACCAAAATATTACACACCCCAGATTCCATCGAACTGAGACTCACGGCTAGATCTAAGTCTGAGTAAGTCCGAGTAAGTCGACTTATGAGTTAGTTAACGGACCTTTGATTCTACCACCCAGACTGCGCCGGTTCTTCAGTACAGCCACTCGAAGAATTCCAAGAGTGCAGTGACATCAGTTCTACGAAGCGAGATGCTTGCACCTTTTCAATAACAATCCAGAACGTACCACACGTGCGAAATGAGACAGCTCGCAAAAGTTCAAATGATAGATGGAAAGTGGGAGAAGCCTTTCGTATAGACATGCCACCCACGCCAGCAAAAGCCAGAGTCGAAATGGCAGCCGTCGCCTTCATCGCTTTTTGCCGCTGTATGGAACTTTCTTGTTCCTACTACATCTATTAACATCTCAATGAAAGAGAACAAAAATTACAAAAAAGTAAATACTTTAATGATGTCACTTTTGATGCCTTAGAGTGTGGCAGCTTAGGCTAGTTGGAATGGCATGACGATAGTTATAGCGCGAGAACAAAACGACGACACAGAGACAAGATGGACACGAAGTACACGCGTCACAATCTTTTCCAATATTTCAATTATCAAATTATTGGCCTCCCCTCTTCGCCATCATTTCCACCCGCAATAATTCTGGTGAATGCTTCTACACGCTGATGCGGTCAACAGCGATGAATTGATGGCCTTTGGTGACCGAAATATGGAATCACTACACATAAATGCTTACACCTCCACTAACAATATGCACCGCCATCATTTAACGCAACCCACAGCAGTTTAGGTGCTTCAAAAGTGCTGGAGGTCCATTTTATGACAATATAGTTACGGCAACGCTTATTTATTTTAGGCTGGGAAAAAGCTGATTCTTTTCACTTACGACAGCTTGCGCACAACTGCATAAAATCTTCGAAGTCTCACGTTCAACATCAATGAGTTCACAACAGCGAATCGGAGTGTCCAATATAGTTTTTACAACATGGTTTAATAAAATATTCCACTAGTCGAAAGCGTGTCGAGCGCAGAGGTTGAACGACGAGTTTCAGAGACCTCAACTTATCTTCTGTAGGGAAGAGCTACGTTAGGTCGCCGAAATCCATAAAGTAAAAAAAATTTGGCAGATCTCACGTACAGTGGGAATCGATGATATGAGAAGCACGAACAAGAAATTTCGGTTGATATGTCACTTTAAAATCAACACATCGTTACGAGGTGAAGGTAAATGAAGCCATACATGACTTCCGTGCCATGACTATCATGTTTGGACGTGTCGTTTACCTTCGTCATCTATTCAGGTCAAGTGATACCAAGTTAAGTGTAACTGGAGCCAGTGAAATGACCGCGAGTACGCTATTAACGTGGTATCTTGTCATCTTTTAGATGCGGAGCATCTAATACTCGAGGCTTGTAGTGCGGCGCCGTCCGCAAGCTTCCTCCTCCTTCTTCCACCATCTGTGCATCCCTTCCTCCTCTACACACCGCGCGCACTTAACTCCTCCACCATCTGTGCACCCTTCCTCCTCTACACACCGCGTGCGCTTCTCCTCTTCACGAACATTCGCTAGCTGTATAATGTAGCGCGCATGCGCCGTCACGCTTCGAGAACATCGGCAGCTGACGCGCGCGCATGCGCCGTCGCGCTTCGAGAACATCGGCAGCTGACGCGCGCGCATGCGCCGTTGCGCTTCTCCCCCTTCTCGAACATTCGACAGCTGACAGTGCATGCGCCGTCGCGCTGTATATATACTCAAGGTCGGTGCTCGCTCGCTCAGTTGCCGCTCGTCGGTTGGTTTGTACGGCGCGTCGACGTCCGAGGTCGCAATGATCGACGTCCCTTCGACCAGCGCCGGCCAAAGTGGCATCTAAAAGCCATCGTGCTCAAAGTTCGTCGCAATAAATAAACACCGCCCTTTCGCATACGTGTCGTACGTGTTCACTCATTTAACACCCCTCCTACAACCACGTTAACCAATTTAGCCAGCGACCCAAGTAAGTCGCAATTTAACACCCCATTTCACAACCACGTTAACCACTTTAGCCATCGACCCAAGTAAGTCGCACTTTAACACCCCGTTAACCAATTATATGCTCCGCATCCTCCTCAGTGTTCCCCCGAGGGACGCTGCGGGCAATTTTTTTACATGACACGCATATCACGATTATCATGTTTGCACCCGTCATATATTTCGTCATCTATTGACGTTACGTAACACCAAATTTGGTATATGGGGAGCAAGCAAAATGGCCGCGAGCGTGTCATGAAAGGCCAAAAATACTCCAATATAGAGTTGACGTGCGCCCACGCTGGGCACAGTGATGCTACGTTAGCAAAACGCGAGCACTCTATAGTCTGATGCCAGGTGCAACAGGCGCCACCAGCGTCCTTCCGAAATTCACGCCAATGCGTTACCCAGACAACACTGCGTATTCCTCATTTCATGACAGAGAGACGCCGGACGCGCTGAAACGCGCTTGCGTCAAAGCAACACAGCGCGGTGCACGCCTACGAGTATATAAGCAGGACCGGCGCCTGGCGTGGAAACGCCGTCGTGACGCAACGAAATGAACGCTGGTGAGCACGCGCGCCGCGTCACGTCTAAATGTATTGGATCCTTGACTGTGGCATGTAGTCATGTTTCCACATAATACGCATCTCATGATTATCATGTTTGCACTAGTCACATACCTTCGTCATCCATTGACGTCACGTAATACCAAATTTGGCATATATGAAGCTAGCGAAATGGCTGCGAGCGCATCATGAGTGTGTCATGTAGTCATGTTGTTACTTGACACGCCTGTCGTGATTATCATGTTTGGATATGTCATTTACCTATGTCGTCCGTACGTGTCATCTAATACTGAGTTTGGTACATGTGAAGCTAGCGAAACGGCTGCGAGCGCACCATGAGCATAGCTAGTAGTCATGCGGTTACATGACACTCTTCTCATGTATATCATATTTGCACCAGTATCATACCTTCGTCATCCATTCACGTCCCGTATTACCAAATTTGGTATAAGTGAAGCTAGCGAAACGGCTGCCAGCGCATCATGAGCGTGACATGTAGTCATGTTATTACATGACACGCATCTAATGATTATCATGTTTGCACCAGTCATACCTTCGGCAGTCATTCCCATACCATAATGCGAAATTTTGTACATGTGACGCCAGCAAAACGGCCGCGAGCGCAGCATGACCTTGGCATGTAGTCATGTTGTTACATATTAAGCATTCATAATTTTAATGTTAGATATGTAGTCATGTTATTACATGACACGCTTCTAATGATTATCATGTTTGTGCCAGTCATACCTTCATCAACCATTCACATACTGTAACGCCAAATTTTGTATATGTGACGCCAGCGAAATGGCCACGAGAACATCATGGGCGTGGCATGTAGTCATGTTGTTACATGACGAGCATGTCATGGTTTTCATGTTAGGGCCAGTCGCTTGTGTTCGCCATGCAATCATGTCATACCATACCAGTTTTGCAACATGCTATGTGAACGAAACCACCGCAAGAGCTGCGGCACCATGAAATGTAAATCATGATATTCATGACATGTAATGATTTTCATGTCATGACTAGTAA